TGAACATTTACAACTAATTTAAGTCCACTTTAAGTAACACTATTCTACTAAATGAAATTTCCCATAATCTCTCATAAGCTTAGGAGACAAAGTCATGCTACAAGGAATGGACCTGCCTGAAACACACAGTCTATCTCCCACTCCAAAAATATTTGTCATATTTTGATTCTTCAGGGAGTAGAAAAGAATTAAACTTAGATCTTCTTAAGAGTATAACTGAATGTCCCATAGCCTTTCATGTTTGAGGAGATAGACACCTGCCAGGATCTTTTATAACAGCCCAAGGACCACATCTGAGAAACAGAAAAACAAAAAATGGGCATACCAGATGTGGATTCCAAATTTGACCCAGCTCAATCTCCGATTGGATTAACATGATCAGTACCTCACTCTGACTGACTAAAAGAGGAAGTGTAAATCCTTTCTAGTGAAGCCTCTACAGTTCTTTTATCTGTAGTGTCAAATATACAATAAAAAATAACTAGACATGTAAAGATGCAGAAGAATGTGATCAAGAAGAAAACCCAGACCATATAATTCAACCCACTAATGATCCAGGTACTAGAGTTAGCATGTAGGACTTCAGAAAATCTGTGATTAATATTTTTTTAAATGAAAGAAAAGATGGACAAAATGGATGGTAATATGGAGAATTCCAGCAAAGTACTGGAATATATAAAGAAGAAGCAAATGAACATTCTAGAACTAAAATTATCATCTATGGAATTAGAAATGTGTTGGATGGATTTAACAGAAAATTGGCATTAGCCAAAGACAGGATTACTGAACTGAAAGACGGGTTAACAGACAATATCCAAACCTCAGCTCAGGAAGAAAAATAATGGAAAAAAATAACAGAAAGTAACACAGTCCAGAGGCCTACCATACATGTAGTTGGAGTCTCAGAAAGAGAGAAGACATAGAATGGGGCAGAAGCAATATTTGAAGAGATAATAGATCAAAATTACCAAAATTAATTAAAGAAATCAACCCATATTTTTAATAAGTGGTGTATTATAAACAACATAAATACAAAAAAGGCCATATACCTGGGCATATCACAGCCAAACTCCAAAGAAACAAAGACAAAGCTACAATCTAAAAAACAGATAGAGGGGGGGGAAATATTAGGAAAGCCAGAAATAATGGGAATTGCATCTTTTGTGTTTTGAAAGAAAAAAGAAACTTGTCCACCTGAAATTTTATAACAGTGCAAAAAAAAATCAAAGTAGAAGCAAAGTAATGATATTTTCAGACAAACAAAAGCTGAGATAATTAATTGCCAACAAACTACATTAAGAAGAAAATCAAAGAGAGTTCTTGAAGGAAAATTCTTTCAGAAGGGAACAAGAATTATAGGAATAAAGAACATTGGAAAGGGTAAATATATGTTGAAATAGAAATGAATATTGACATTTTAAAACAATAATGTCTTGGGTTTATGACATTTATAGAAGTAAAATATATGACAGTAATAACACAAAGGCTAAGAGGGAAGTAAAAGGAGTTAACCTGTTACAAGATTTTTGCATTGCTTAGAAAGTGGTAACAGTACAGTAATAAGTCAAGTATGCACATTGTACTCTCTAGAGTAACTGTTAAAAAAACATAAAAAATATATTAATTAAAAGCTAATAGATGAGAAAATGTGTAATATTAACAATTACTTGATTAATCCAAAGGAATGCAGGAAAGGAGAAATAATGGAATGAAAAACACGTGGGAAAAATAAAAAACAAAGCAAGATGGTAGACTTTAGCCCAAGTATATCAGTAAGGCCTAACCCTTATTTAGCTATCTATATTAGTAAGCATATAAATAATTATATAAATTTTATATTGAAAATTTAAGTCCAAATAATTATTATTAAATATATTAAATATAATAATTACTAAATGAAATGTACATAGACTAAATAACCCACATAAAAGCAAAACTTATCAGACTGACCAAAAACCTATCTATACCTTATTTTTCAGGCATACTTTAAATATAAGGGCACAGAAAAATGAAAAGTAAAAGGCTGGAAAAAGATACATCATACAAACTTCAGTTAAAAGAAAGCTGGTATCATTATGTTAATATCAGACAAATTAGGCTTTAAGGCATAAGGTACTGTGAGATATAAAAAGGGACATTTGGGGCCGGCCCGGTGGTGCACTGGAGAGTGCGCCGTTTGGGAGCGTGGTGGCGCTCCCACCGAGGGTTCGGATCCCATGTGGAGACCGGTTCCCGCTCACTGGCTGAGCGCGGTGCGGGCGCAACACCGAGGGTTGCGATCCCGTTGCCGGTCAGTAAAAAAGAGACAAAAAGGGGGAAAAAAAGGACATTTGATAATAATAAAAGAGTCAACAGAAAAATATAACAATCTTAAATGTGTAAAGCGAAAATTGGCATAATTAGAAGAAATATAATCTTCAATCATACTCAGAGATTTTTACACAGATCTCTTGATAATTGATAAACAAGCAAGCAAAAAAAATTAGTACAGATATAGCAGATTTTAACATCTTTTTTTTCATTTTAACATCTTGATCTAATTGATATGATATAGAACCCTACAGCCAACACTACAAAATATCTAAAGTTCTACAAAACTAATGTTTTCTTTAAATTAAGTGCACAGTAAATGTTTCCCCAAACAGATCACATGGTGGGATTTAATGCAAGTCTCAACAAATGTAAAAGAATTGAAACCATAGAGAATATTCTCTAGTCCCAGTAGAATTAAACTAGAAATCAATAACAGAACAGAAACAGAAAACCACCAAATTTTTACAAATTAAGCACATGAAATTAAATAATCCATGTGTTAAAAAAGAAAATTAGAAAATATTTTATGCTGAGTGATAATGAAAATATTACATCAAAACTTGTGGGATGCAGCTAAAGTAGAGCTTTTAGCCCATTCTGTGCTGCTATAACATAATATCTGAGTCTGGGTAATTTATAAAGAACAGAGATTTATTTCTTACAGTTCTGGAGGCTGAGAAGTCCAAAGTCAAGTGGCCCAGATCTGGCAAGGGCCTTCTTGCTGCTTCATCCGTGCAGAAGATAGAAGGACAAGAGAGCACACACATGAGAGAGAGAGAGACAGAGAGAGAGTAAACATGCATGCAAGAGATCAAACTTACAGCCTCGAGCCCTTTTATAACTGGCATTAAACCATTCATGAAGGTGGAGTTCTTGTGACCTAAACACCTCCCATTAGGCCTGCTTTTGGGGGGACACATCCCACAAACCATAGCAAGCTCAGAGGGAAATTTATAGCTCTAAATGCATACATTAACTAAGTTTGTACCTCAAGGTAGAAAAGATAAGCAAATTGAACCCAAAGAAAGTAAAATGAAATAGTAAAGATAAAATCAGACATCAATAGAACATAGAAGTAAAATGGGGAAAATAAAGCCAGTTAGTTCTTTGAATAGGTTAATACAATTGATAAACCACTAGGAGGACTGATATATCTGAATGGCTAATAAGCATATGCAACAGTGCTTAACATGGTTAGTCATAAGAAAATTCACATTCAAACTACAATGAACTACCATTATAACCCCACCAGAATCACTAAAATTAAAAAGATTGACAGTACCAAGAATTGATAAGTATGTGGACCAACCAGAAGTCTCATATATTGGTGGTGGATGGTAAATTGGTACACAAACTTTGGAAAACTCTTTGGCAGTCACTAGTATAGCTAATTGTACATATGCCCCATGACCTCTCATATTTTATTCCTGGGTACATAACCAGGAGAAATGAATGCTATAACCCACCCAAAGACATGAACAATAATGTTCACAGCAGTTTTATTCATAATAGCCCCAAACTAGAGACATATAAAATATTCAATAATAATAGAGTAGATAAATAAATCGTGGTATATTATATGATGGAATACTTGATAGCAATGAAAAAGAACTAACTGCTGCTCTATGTTACTACATGGATGAGTCTCACAGATTCACCACAGATTCACGTTGAGAAAAAAAAAAAAAAGCCAGGCACAAATGACTACATACTGTATAATACCTTTTGTATAAAGTTCAAAAGCTGGCAAAAGTAATCCGCGGTGATAAAGGGATTTTTGGAGAATATTGGCTGGGAGAGAAATAAGAAAATCAACTGAGATGCTGAAAGTGTTTGGTATTTTGATGCATGGAGATGTCATGGGTATATATACATATGTAAAAATTCATTAAATTGTACTCTTAAAATGTGTCTACTTTAACTTTAGTGAAAACATATACATATGTATGTAAGTATAGTGTTATAGTTCTAATATGAAAAAATATGTTGTATAACAGGATCTCAAACTTCTTACTTGAGTTTGTAACATTTTTAGTCAGGAGAAAATTATTCTGCAAAACTAATGTTGTCTTTCAGGCTTTATAGACTGAATAATTTAGGATAACGTCTGTTTTCTCATCTAAAACCTAATATTATCAGGAGACAAGGTTGAACTGCTTTCTTATAAAGGACCAAGATATTTTTTTCTACTTTCCATTTGGTGCAGGGTACTAAAATTTGGAAGACCTTTTATACACAATTCTTACAGAATTTTAAACAAAGATTTTTGATTTAACAAAAGCTAGTTAGGAAAGGTCATTTGGGGTTGAACTTAAGTTGACCAGTCACAATTGTTGTCTCTAAATTTACCTGTGAGATAATATTTTATATGTAAATCATGTATTTGAGGACTTATTTAAAACTTCCACTTTATGAATATAACAAATCAGTTGGCTTTTACTTTTATATATTGCATAGAAAGAAAACAGTTTGGTATAATTATTCCAGTTATATTTTAGTTACTGGTGTCCATAAGAAACTAAGTCCTTAGCTTTTAAAATACTTTCTAACTTAATTATTTGAGGTCTGTTCACCTGACCTATTTCATGAATAATCAATATTCAGCAACTATTTTAAAATTTATTTTAGAGTGAGAAGTAGTGAATTGGTACATACAGAATGTTGAAGAGTAATATATTTTCTTCTAGGCAGAGCTTCTAGATGCTGCTGCTGGCATTCATGTGCGATTCAGATTAGGTGGAGTAAGTATGGGTGAATTCTTATTTAGTAGTCTTTTTTTATATATATATATATATATTTTTTTTTGTGTGACCGGTAGGGGATTGCAACCCTTTGTGGCGCCCACACTGCGCACCGGCCATCCCTATATAGGATCTGAACCCGCGGAGGGAGTGCTGCTGCGCTCCCAAGCGCCACACTCTCCCAAGTGCGCCACGGGGCCGGCCCTTATTTAGTAGTCTTAAAGCACATTTATGTGAAGTTTAGAAGATATAATTTTTAAAAAATGTAAGCCATTTTTATAATTATTACATTACAATGGTCCTTTGAACTTTTCCATCTACAGGTTAAATTTCCACCTAATATATACTATAAAATATTTACTCAGAGACATATTGAAGATCTGTGTGCTAACAGCCCTAGAGATTACACAAAACTTCCAGCAAAGCATGCATCTCATAATAAAAGTGATCATCTTGAGGAAGAAGGTCGTAGTGGCTGGTATCGTCGTATAGAAAACAATGGCTGGAGGCCTGTTTCTGATAGAGTAAGAAAAGAAAAATCTTAATAATTTTTATCTTACATATTTAGAAACCCATTTGTCTTATTTTCTAAAATTATTTTTTAAAAGAATAAATCCTAGTAATTTAATTGATAAAATTCGCTTAAGTTTCTACTCTGGGGCTACTAGTAATACTTGAAGGTACAGCAATTTAACTTTTTTTTCTTACGTTTACTTCTACTTTTATTTTAATAATCAGCTTTGAATCTGGGCCATCTTTAGACACCTCTGGTACTCAGCAGATTATATACTCAGTATATAGACTATAGAATGTGGTATGTCAAATATACTAAGTATGGAAAGTAAAAATGTGAATTCATTCAACAAACTTTAGTGCATATCAATCATGTGTCAGGTATTGTTCTAGATCCAGCTGTACAATGGTAGAAAAGACATAGTCCTTTCTCTCAAGTAGTTTGCTTTTTAATTAGGGAGAAAGTCAAGTAAACAGAATAATTCAGTACAATGCAGTAAATGTGTTAAGTGATTTAATAGAAGCAGATACATAGTGCTGATGACGGGGGGTAGGGGGGCCTAGCAAACTCTCCTTGTTATCTAGTGTGTGGGGGGGGGGCAGGGGAGGAGGAATGAATTGGAAGTGAGAAAATAGGTGATCAGTTAGGTGAAAGTGTCATACAGAGGAAACCACAGTCTTGGGACAGGATAGAGGGACTTAGGTATTTCCGGAGAGTGCCTGTACTCTGAGAATTAAAGTCATCAAAAGCCAACAGCACTAAGAATAAATCAGGTCTATTCATGTGAGCAGATGAGACACTCTTAGACTATGTCTATTCATTTATTCATTTAATACACTAGTACTTTTTTCAGTCTTTCTGTAGCATCTGCTTCTGAAGGTTCAATGTATTACTCACCCATCACTTAGAATACTTTAAAAGGGTCTGTCTTCTCCCCTATTCCTATCTTGGCCTATTCCTACTGAACACACACAGAAGTTCTTGTCTATAGCCAGAAAATCAATATTTCAACATTTTGTATATTCACTTTTGTTTCTCAATAGTTTTGGGTATCTACTGACCATGTAGAGGTGGAAGACAAAAAGGAAAGTGAATTCCATTTTTCAAAACTGAAGAGAAGGCAAGATTTGGATAAGAAAAGAAAAATTAGAAAAATAGAATGGATGAGGCAAATGTAAGTTGATGAAATACTTAGACTTACTAGGAAAGTATATAGTATTTTGGGAAAAAAACAAATTTGGAGAACATACACTATCTAATTTCAAGACTTACAAAGCTAGTGTAATCATGATATGGTGGTACTGACATTAAGTTAGACATATATGTCAATGGAACAGAATATAAATTTGTGAAATAGACCCACACATATATTGGTAACTGATTTTCAACAAAGGTGCCAAGGAAATTTAAGGAAAAGATCATCTTTTGTAAAAATTGATTATTCAAATGCAGAAAAATAAATCTTGACTCTTATCTCACATCATATATAAAATTAACTCAAAAAAGATTATAGATCTAATTATAAGAGCAAAAATCAAAAAAATCTAAAAGTAACCAAAGAAGAAAATCTTAGTTACCTTCATTCTGGCAAAGATTTCTTAAGAAGAAGGCATTAAATATAAAAGAAAAATTGTTAAATTGCACTTCATCAAAATTAAAAGCATTTGCCCTTTGAACAAATAAAAATAAAAATGCAAGCCATAGATAGGGATAAACATTTGCAAACTATACAAGGGTGCTACAAAAAGTTCATAGAAAGATTAGTACTATCTTTTAATTCTATTTTTCCACAAACTTTTTGAAGTACCCTCATATATCTGAAAAAGTTCTTGAGTCTAGAATATAAACTAAAACAAAAAAACTCTCGAAACTCAAATGATCAGAAGATAATCTAATTAAAAAATGAGCAAAAGATTTGAACAAACACTACATCAGTGAAGATATATGGATAGCAAATTAGCACAACTCATGATGTTAGTCATTAGGCAAGTACAAACTAATATGATGATGAGATACAACTACATACCCACTAGAATGGCTAAAATAGTCTGCCACACCAATTGCTGGCTAAATACAAACTGGTACATCCACTTCAGAAAATAGTTTGTCAGTTCTTTTTACAAGTTAACACACCTATTGTTCAATCCAGCCATTCCACCCTTAGGTATTTACTCAAGAGGAAAAAAAAATATATCCACAGAAAATTGTATATAAACATTCATAGCAGGTTTCTTTGTAATAGCCAAAGCCCAGAAATAGCGCAAATGTTCATCAACAGGCAAGTAGATAAACAGACAGTGGTATATCTACACAAAGGAAAGTCAGCAGTACAAAGGAGTGAACTATTGATACACATAACAACATGGATGAATCTCAAAATGATGATGCTGAATAAAAGAAATCAGTCAAAAAGGACATTCTATATGATTCCATTTACTTAAAATTCGAGAAGATACAAACAAATCTAGAGTGACACAAAGCAGATCAATAGTTATCTGGAGATGGGGGAAAGGAGAGAGGGAAGGATTACAAAGGGGCACAGGAAACTTTGGGTGTGATGTATATATTCATTTTTTATTGTAGTGATGGATCCACAGGAGTATACATACGTCAAAACTGCAAATTGTACAATTTAAATATCTGTAGTTTATTGTACATCAATTATACCTCGATAAAGTTGTAAAACATTTTTTTTAAAGAGCATGTGCAAACAGAAGACAGTCATGGAAGCTTTGTAGTAGTTCTTCATCTCCTGGAGTTGCAGGATGACTTGAGGACAAGCCGGGGACCAGTTGCAACAGTCACAGGGTTATAGCACATGCCGTACAACCAAATGCTCTACCCTGCTAGGTCTTCTGCACTAAATTAGGGCACTAGTGGGGAAGAAGTAGAACCCTCAGACCTGGCATGAGGACATTTGGGCAGATGTAGACAAGGCTAGGAACCTTGAACCTCCAAATTCCCTTGGTGGTGGAAGAAGCCCTTGCTCCCCCTTTTGTGGGAAGCAGCCCTTCTCTGCCTTTCAGTGACTGCACGATGCAGTTGCCACACACACTTATGCTGATTCTCCTCACGATTCTACCACCACCACTTCTCACTGCTTCCAGCCCACAATGTCCTTGTATCTCAGGACAGCCCAGACAGACAGGTAGAGATCTACTCCAGAAGGAGATGGCTTATAAACCAGAAGAGGTACAAGAACTTACAAATCTATATTGACAGAAACCTTGGAGGCATTGTGCGAGGGTAGATTCTAAGGTTTGTTAGATCAAAAGTTGATTGGGCTGAACTTATTGATATGGCCACACTCACTTGGGATTATGGATTTAATGTGTCGGCTTGAGTATCCAGAAATTATGTTAATAGTCAGTTAGGTTAGCTAATCAAAGCCTGAACTCATCCAAAGCTCTACTGTTAACAAATGCCTGAACTTCTCTGATATACTGTAAAAAAACGATTTCTAAGGACTTGGGAGAATGTGTGTTTCTGTTATGTGTAATCTCTCAGCCACCCACTAGCCATTACCCCAGGAAGGTCCCAGGAATATCCTCTCATCAAGTTATTAAGAAATGGCTGGGTGAGGAGAGCAGCAGAGTTTTTGGCAAACTGTGGTTTATAAGGCTGGATATGACAGTGGGGAAAGCTGCAATGGAATTGGTTCCTTTAGTTCACTGGGAATAATGGAACTTTGAAGTGGTAGAGGTCAGGTGGTAACACATATTGCAGCTAGGCTTCTAGATGTGGTTTCTTTAATGGAGCAAATGAACACAGCGCCTGGCACCTGTTATACTGCTATTGACCTGGCAAATGTGTTCTTTCCCATCCCGATCACTAAGCAAGAAAAGAAGCAGTTTGCAATTATATGGAAAGAAGAGTGAATCTTTACATCTTACTCTCAGAGCTGTATCAGTTTTCCTGCTCTAGTCTCCAGGGTCTTACACATCTCGATTCCCACAGAATATCATGCCTGTTTATTGTATTGATGACCTAATACTAATTGGATGTGGTGAACAGAAAAAAACAGCTCCCTGGATGGCTTAGTAGGACAAACGCATACTAGAAGGAGGGAGATAAACTATGTAAAAAGTTAAGAGCCTGCCATGTAGCTGAAGCTTAAACACATTTTGGGATATCTTTTCAAAAGTGAGAGACTAGTTGCTGTACCCTGCACCACCCCCCTTGAAGAGGCACAACACTTAAAGGACCTCTCTTGATTTGGGAGGTAATATATGACACACTTGGGCATGCTGCTCCAGTCCATTTACTAGGTGACCTAATAAAGCCACCAGGCTCCAGTGGAACATGGAGCAAAAAAGAACTCTGTAGCAGGTCCACAGTGTGTTCAAGCTGCCCTAAAACTTGGGCTTTATGACCCAGAGTTCCCAACAAGTATTGTAAATGTCTGTGGCACAGTGAAATACTGTCTGGAGCTTCTAGAGTCCTAATAGGAGAATCGCAATACAGACCTGTAGGGTTTAGGAATAAGGTAATGAATACCCTCCTCTGCCAAAAACTGTTCTCCATTTAAAAATCAGTTTCCAGGCTTGCTACCAGGACCTGGTAGAGACTGGATACTTGACTATAGGTTGCCAAATACTATGTGATTGTGAACTGACCTGGGTTTTGTATAATCCACTGGATAAAAGAGATTATACAGCATTGTTTCAGAATAAAATAGATGTGGTTTATATGAGACTGGGTCTGAGAAAGTTCAGAAAGCCCAAGTAAGCTGCATGAGCTGTCACTCAGACTCCTTCAACCACTACTCATGCTCCATTGCCTCCACATCATCTCAGTATCTTTGGCCTTGACAAGAGTCCCCTATGACAAGTTAACAGAGGAGGATATATTGGGCCTACAATGGATCTGCACCGGATGCTGGCACAATCCAAGAATGGACAGTCACTAGATTACAAACCCTCAGTTAGCCCAGAAAATGGCCAAAGGATAGATATCCTTCCAGTGGGCACAACTTTAGGTGGTACATTTGGTTTTTCACTTCATGTAGAAGGGGAAATAGTATGGATCTTATTGACTGTGGGCTAATAGTTTCTTAATAGATCAGCATTTAGAAAGAATAAAATTGGAAAATTGGTGACTAGGTCGGAGGAGAGGTATATTCAGAATGGGCACAAAGGTCATTCATGCCCCATGTGAATGCCCTCCAAAGGGCTTACATGAGGCAGACAGCTCTTAGTAATCAGATGGACAAGATGATCCTATGGATGTCAACTTTTTCCCCTGGTAACCTCAGCAGTTTCACCATGGAGCTATGTACAAAGTGGCCATGGTCACAAGGGTGGAGACTGTATACAGACTCAACAACATGGTTTTTCCCTCACCAAGGCTGTTCTGGTTATAGTCACAGCTGATTGTAGAGCAAAAGACATTGCTTTGCCCCCAGCAATGAGATATACTGGCTAGCTGGTGGTGGGCTGATCATGTTGGATACTTCCCATATACAGGAAGCATCCCTTTGTCCTCACAGTGATAGACAAATATTATAGACATAAACTATTTCTCAGCCTGCATTACTTCTGTCAGCAGCACTATTCATTACAGAATGCTTTATCCATCATTTTATTTCATACGCCATTGCCTCTACCAAGGGGGGGGGACCCATTTACAGCAAAGAAAGTGTGAGCTCAGAACAACAAAATTCACTTGCCATATGTGCCATCACCTAGAAACAGCTGGCTTTGACAGAATGGTGGTATGACTTGCTGAAGCTCAGTCACAGTAACAGCTGGGAGACACCACCTAGTGACAGGCCAATGCACATGAATAATCTTCTATTTTATTTCTTTTTTCTTTCCTATGTTTATTTACCCTTGAAACATTTCTCATCCATAACTGAGCTCTGTATTTCTAATTATATGGACATTTCTATCTCAAACTCAATAGGTCCCAAACTGAGTTTCATATCTTCCCCATTATAAAAGTTGTTTTTTCCTCAGTATTTCTCCTGGTCTGTTTATGACACCATCATTTACCCAGTCATCCATGCCAGAAATGTAGGGATTGTCCTACACTTCTTACTCTTCATAAGCTCCTACATGTAATCTGTCATCAAGTCCTATTAATTCTACTTCCAGAGTATCTCTCAAATCTGACATTTTCTTTCATTCTCTACTGCATCATTTCAGAATGTTTCATCTATACTTTATCTGCTGAATCCATCTTTTAGTTGGTCTCCTTCTCTTTAATCTCTTCCTCATCTCTGTACAAACACTGAAGTGATGTTTCTAAAACACAAATAAGTAAAATCAATTCCTTACCTAAAACATGTTAAAGACTCCCCATTACCTACATCCCACATAATATCCCCCCTCTTTGCTGGCAACAACATCTTCATCTTTTAATACTTTGTCCAAATATCTCCTGAAGCTTTCCCTGACTTACACAGGCACTTCTTTTTGAGGTGCCCTGTGGATCTTTTTATATATTCAGTTGTCACATTTTTGCAACTATCTGTTTATTTGCCTGCCTCCTCCACCAGACTTTGAGCCCCTACAGAACAGGGTCTCTGTTCTGTTTATTAGCACAGAACCACAGATATAAGTTGATGCTTAATGAGTACATGTTGCTTGTAGAATGAATGAAAGAATGAAAAAGTGAATGAATGAATGAATTCTTATGACTGGGTGTTATGTTTCCTTTTTGTAGGGTTGCAAGGGATGAATGAGAAATTTTACTGTGTGTGCTTTGTTCACTGATGGCATTTAAACATTCTTCAATTTATTGCTGAGAATTAACAATTAACAAATCAACAAAATTTTGATATTTTTGTTTTAAACCCTGGTCTTACTAAAAGAATTCTGGTTTTAAATCCTGTACCTTCCTGTGTCCTATAGATATTAGCTCTCCTTGACCTCCTTTGCAATTTAAGCTTTGATTCTTCCTAGGTCTTTGTATTTTAACTTCTCTCCCTGTTGTAAAATTCAGACAAACATTTCTTATGATGTTCTTTCCTTTAAATTTCCTAGTTTAGAAAGAATATGATACCATTTGAAAGTGAATACAACTAAAAATATATTGCAATATTACCTATAAAGCCAAATTTTATATTGTTTTTGTTTTCTTTTTAAAAATCACTAGTTTATTTATAAAACAAGTTAGGATTATTATAGTGTGATCTTTATTTCTGCTCACTATTATATTTGAAATACTGTTCCTACGTATGGTAACCTGTTATTATTTATCACTATTTAGACCACTTAACTATAATAGTAACTAATTTTAGAAGAGTTCAAAACCTAAGAATTAAATTACAACTATTATAATTCCCTTAAAAACAAAGCACTTTTTATATTTCCCTGATAAGAAAAGAAATAGATATCTGAATGGTTGTATGTCACTGTTGAAAAAAGAAAAAAAGGATATCATTCAGGGTTCAAAATCTAATCTTGTTTGTATATTTAGAAAGGTAAAACATGGAGGAACTCATAAAAAATGCTTTTACCTCCAGCCTTCTAATTTCTAAATGCATTTTTGTTATGACATGGGCATTAGTTCAATAACTGTGTGCCAGTGGGTACCATTACTCATTTATTAATTTACTCATTTACTTAATACATGTCTATTAAGTGCCTATTATGTTCAGGGAACAGAGTATAGAGTAGAAGATTACAAGTTCCATGAGGTTAATTTCATCACTGTACAAACACATAGCACTTTGCAAACGGTGGACACTCACTAGATACTTATTAAAGAAATAAGTGAATGAAAAACTATAGAAAAATTAAGAAGTCATACTTTCTTACCATTTTTTGCTCTTAATAACGTATAAATTGAGTCATGTTCCTGCTTCTATAAAATGCAATTGCTCTCATGGGTCATTTTCCACTTAAGGTCTGACCAAGCAGAAACTTCATGAGGGCAGGGATATATCTTGTCATTGTCATATCCCTACCACACAATGTTGTGTAAGCCTTCTTTTACTGAATGCTTACTCTGTGCCAGTCACTGTTGTAAATACTTTATATGGATTTACACTTCTAAACCTCTCAAGAATGCTAGGAAGAAGTAGTATTATGATTATTATTTTAAGGAGGAGGTCACAGAGGCCCAGCAGAAAGGCTAGGTTTTTTGACAAAGTTTATATAACTAGTAAATTACAGAACTGAGATTTATATACGGATAATTTGATACCAGAGTCCTGGCTTTGTATTATTACTATGCTGCTTCCTAATGAGTGCTGGATAAATTAATATGATTTCAGAATAGATTAATCTTTAAAATGGCTACCAATGTAGATCTTAAAATGAATAACCTAAAAAAATGCTATATCCCAAAGTTCTTGGTAAGGACTTAATAACTTCTCTCTACTCACACAGCTCGTGTTTGGTAGATACACTAATTTATGTGCTCAGACTAATATGAGGGTACTTCAAAAAGTTCGTGGAAAAACAGAATTAAACATTAATATGAATCTTTCCACGAACTTTTTGAAGATCCCTCAAATAAGACAGTGCTGCAGAATAAGCCTGGACTTAGAGTCAGGTTTGAATGGTAGTTCTTTTTTTGTTTGTTTGTTTGTTTTTTGTCTTTTTCATGACCCATAAGGGGATCACAACCCTTGGTGTGGTGTCGCTCACACCGCGCTCAGCCAGTGAGCGCACCGGCCATTCCTATATAGGATCCGAACCCGCAGCAGGAGCGTCGCTGTGCTCCCAGCGCCACACTCTCCCGAGTGCGCCACAGGGTCGGCCCTTGAATGGTAGTTCTGATACATATTTATTTCCTACACGATCTTGAACAACTTCATAACTTCTCCAAATCTCAATTTCTTCATCCCTAAATGGGGAATAAAAATAGCTGCTACAAAAGGCTATTGTCTTTAAGAGAATTAAACAAGATAATGTATGAAAAGTACATGGCATAAATTCTTCCTCTCTTTTTCTTTCCTTTTTCCCCTTTCCCTCCCTCTTTCTACCTACCATTAGCCTCACAACGATGTAAAAGTTACCCAACTCCTCCAGGATTTATTTCCTCACCTATAAAATGAAAGGGCTGGTTGTTTGGTTTATAAGGTCTTTCCAGTCTGTAATTCTGTGATTCAGTGATTTAATAACTTAGTTTTTCCTTGTATCATAAAAATGCAACTTATTGAGAAGTGATTTGAAGTGAGGCCTCTTTGGTTAGTGTGGGGATTAAGCTGCTTTTCCCCTCCAACAATTCCGGCACATACAAGGATATTTCAAAAAGTTTATGGTAAAGTTCATATTATTATCTTTTAATTCTATTTTTCTATGAACTTTCTGGAGTACCCTCGTAGATCTTGGATGAAGATTTGATTTAATATGTAAATAGTTTTAATATGTAAATAGCAATAATATATGTCTCTCTTCCTTTCCTTTATTTAGGTACTACGCAGGAAGCCTGGAGGCTAAGTCAACACATCATGAAACTCTAGGTTTAATTCACACGGCAACAAAAGGGCTAATAAGAGCTATTGAAGATAGTGGGATAGATTCTGTTATGGAGTGGGAAGTGGATGAAGTGCTGAACTGGACAAATACACTGAACTTTGATGAGTAAATGCATGTTACTATTTTGGGGGAACAAGTGCAGTCATCATATATTTTTTCTTTCTAACATTTCCATTCCTATGTTGAATCTTAGCATCGCAAACAAACTCTTTCAAAACAACTGAATTTTTATTATTTCTCTAGAAAGAAAAGAATAATAATGAGGGATTAAAAAAAAGGAGTAATCCAAGAATAGGAAACAGAAAATTAGACTGAAGTGTTCTTTATTCTCAGACTTCATTTTTATGCTTTAGTCTAACTCTGCTTTGCTTGACTTTTCAGATTTAGAAACAAGTTTAAAGAACATGAAATTAATAATACAAAGAATTTCTTTAATCTATATTCCTATAGATAATTCCTTAATCTATATTTCCTATCTAATGTTTCTATGTGAGACATTAAAAACTTATAATTTTTCAGTGATATACTGTAGCTCTTGAAAAACATTTAAAAAAATTTTTTGTATGCTGGAAATTTTTTAATATTTAATATACCCATTAAGGAAATGTAAATCTAAATCCCAATGAGATACTACTTCATACCTACTAGGATGGCCATAATTAAAAAGACAGATAATAACCAGTGTAGGTGAGAATGTGGAGAAATTGGAACGCTTATGTGCTGCTTTTGAGAATGTGCAGTGGTGCAGCCACCTTGGAAAACAATCGGAAGTAGAAAAGAGAAAAATGATAAAAGGAAAGATAAAAGAAAAAGGGAAAGAATGATAGAGAAAAAGGAAAATTGGAAAACAGGGATGAAAGAAAAAAGAAGACATTGATGAGAAGGATATATTAAAGAATAGAGTGACAGATAAAAAAGGACTAAGTATCCACAGTAGATGCTCTAAAATATTTTTAAATGAGCACATAGTAAAAAGAGATTGTTGTAATTCAATAACCCCAATATCTTGTCTAGACTGTAGTACTGGGATTGCCACATTTGTGGTTTCTGGGACATTGAATAAATAGAGATGGTAATATCATGCAAGTAATGACATCCAAAGAAAGGAGCTGTGATGCCTTGCTTTTACTTTCTTTCCTAAGAGTAAAAATTGCTGGGTGGAGATGGGAGAGAAGTGAGCGAGAGGTAGAAGAGGTCCATTATAAATAAGTTTCTGAGGACAGAATAGAGAATTTTCTAAGGTGAGCTTTTGAAATCCTGCTCTGCCTTTCCCTTATAAACTTGGCTGATTCAAGTAAAACGCCAGCAAGTTTAGTGAAAGATTACAAGAACACCCAATATTCTGTATTCTATCATTACTGGAATACAACGAGAATAAAACAGTTGAATTCAAAGAGAAGAAATAAATAGGTAACTCAGTCTACATGAGACTTTCTCCACTATCATCCCCCTAATAGCCTTTTCTGGAAGGTGATAAAGATTCTTAATGGCTTTCCTTTATAAAAAAAAAAAAAATAAACCAGTAAGACATGAGGTGGTTTCTTTGTATCATATACTCTATATTGAGTGGAATGAATACACCTCTAGCTTTGATATGATGAGTAACTCTGAAAATTTTCAAAAAAATGCACATACCTCATGTTTCCAAACCGTGTACAACTTCTATCAGTTCTTCTTCTGAGTTGGATATAATCATAATTTGGCACCAACGTGGAATCTTAGAAAGCAAGATTTTCCACTGAGCCCTGGACAACAAAAACTTCAAATGGAATCTCAAGAGATTATTTGGGAATATTTCAGTAGCACTGCAGACCACAAGCACTGATAGGTAAGACCACACTGCAAAGACAACACCTTGTTTGATAAGAATTTCAGAGTTTGACATTTTTCTCTTCAGGAGAACTGGTAACCACTAATTCCTTGGAAAATATCCTTTAAAATTTATGGACAGTCCCTGCTGGCCATTAGAATGGCATAAGCTTGAACACTGATATTTGGTGATAAAAATCTGTTTCTTTCCAAAGGCTTTTGTGCTAGCCCCTTGTCTTGACACTCTCCTGGATGAAGCCATGTGCATCCTCAGATTCACATTGCAGCTATCAACTGAGTACATTATTATTAGCATTTTGAAGAATGGATAGAGCCAATTGCACTTTTAGACTCAAGGACACTAATGGTACTTTTATAGATTCCAGTATTCACAGATATGTTTCTGCATATGTGTAGAACATAAAACAATCCCCACATCACCACCCTTGCGTCACCAACAGTGCCACATGATGGCTACCATGACTGTTGCTGGCATTCATCCTAATGGATATTCAGCTGCATATTCTCCATCAAGATGGATGTCCCTCTTCCAGGATCTTCATATTTTTTCAAACTGCAAGTGAATTTTGACATATCTATCAAGCAATTCGCAGCTAGGAAATCTTAAATAATGTCCTGATATTCTATTTAACGTTGTTGCTGCTTTGTGCTCACATATGTTGTGGATAGTCTCTATTATCTGTAGCTGTTCTTTTGATTTGTAAGACATGTAGTTGTTATGTTGCCTCTCTGGCTGGAGACTTTTCCCAGACTTTTTTTTTTTAATTTTATTTATTTTATTTTATTATTTATTTATTTTTTCTTAATTTTATTTTGCCAATATACAATGTGGGTGATTATTGTGGCCCATTACCGAAACCTCCCTCCCACCTCCTTCTCCCCCCTCCCTCCCAACAATGTCCTTTCTGTTTGCTTGTCGCATCAACTTCGAGGAATTGTAGTTGTTACGTCTTCTCCCCCCACCCCGGTTTTGTGTGTGTGTGTGTGTGTGTGTGTGTGTGTGTGTGAATTTATTCATTTATTTTTAGCTCCCACCAATAAGTGAGAACATGTGGTATTTCT